TACAAAGTGGCAGACACAACATAGGAAGAACTAACTTCAGTATCAACTTCTTTAAAGTTATGTCCTTGTTTCATAATCAGATCAGATATTAACTATTTAATAATTATACAAGCTAATAAATCTGATCAGCCCAAGGGCAAATGTGTAGGTTTTATTGCTCATATTTGCAGGGCCTCATCACCAACTGACCATTGCGTTAGGGCTGATTTAACTGACAGACCTTTTGGCAGACATGGCAAAAAGAAGCAAAGCAAGTTGAAAATCCAGTCTGCATATTATTTGAGACCCACCACTCAGAGCATTTTTATAATAAGGTGATACATGACTAGGAAAAGCAAAATTCATACCAATCCCTGAAAAACTTCCAGGTTGAAAGCAGCTCCTGAGTTAAGAGGCTCCAAGTCAGAAATTTTTCAGACTCAGATTCAAGTTTAAAGCAAACATGATTTATTCTGGGATCATTTCATTAGCCAGTTATCATTTCAGCTGTTTAGTTCATTAGTACCTATTCAGGCATTTAAAACTCAAGCTCCTCTACCCTTGAGTTGCAGCAAAAGTGGCTTTCAAGTGAAGTTTCTTTCTGAGGGTTCATATTTACCTGATGATCCTCTGAGCAGCATACTGGTGAAGTGAGCGGAACTGTGCTGACATGTTTGCTAAGGCTGCCAGACAATTGGTGTGAAGATATTTGTCCTGTCAGGAAACAAAGAGAAAAAAAAAAAAAGGAAAGAAAGAAAGAAAGAAAGAAGAAAAAAAAAGACATCAAATTGTTGCTTTGATACATGTTGACACTTCTTGCAGGAATCACTGAAAAGCCTGAGTAACACGTGTTGTTGTAAAGGACATGGTCAAAAGCAGAGAGAAGACATTTCAAGTGTATCTACTTGGTGATGGTTTCAAGATGTTCTCTTAACTTATAAAGCTTATAAAAGAGGGACTGCTTCATATAGAGTGTGTGTATAAACATCAATCACAGAACTGTCATGGTCAGAAAAGACCTCCAAGATCATCATGTCCAACCATCAAACTCACCCCGAAAAAGTAATTTTTAAAAAATTTGCCCACTAGAGTGTGTCTTGAAGTGCCTCATCTACATGGCTTGAAAATCCCTGCCAATTGGTTGCAACAGACTGAAGAACCTCACCCTGTTTGAAGTGAAATTGATGCCCCTGAAGGTGGAAACCCACACCAGGTGCATAAGAACTTACCCTGGTCCGTGTCATGTTGTACTGGATGGTTCTTATCACCACTAATATCAGGAGACTCCCAAGTGAGATCTCAGTTAAGACACGTTCAGCATACCAAGTGATATTTTTCAATACCTGAAAAAAGCCAAAAAAGGACAAGGTTCTTCAGCATGGAGGTCTGAAGAAGAACACTGAAAATTGTCTGGACTCATGCAATCCTTAAATCATGTAAATTAGCTTCCAGCCTTCAATGTGAGCTAAGTTATTCTATTCTAAAAGAATAATAAGAATAAATAAATAAATAAGACATCTCTGCAGTATTATCACCTGATAGATCTCATCAACTTTATTTAAAACCATGTGAAAACACCCTAAGTGTAGAAAGCTGATTAAATCTGGCAATTCCTTAATTCCTATGCTCTTTGCCATCACACTCCTTTCTTCTTTTTGATCATACCCTTTCCAAAGTCTCCAGTTCCACCCAAAATAGCCAAAAAATGCTGCCAATTCCCTCCCATTTTCCCTCATGACAAGTTGGGCAAGAGGCACCATGCACAAGCTCTGACTGATGGACAAGAGCACACACACACTGAAGGTCGTGGGGCAGATGGAGAAGTTAACTGTTGACAAAGCCTTTCTCTTGCCAGATGAGAGGTCTCTTCCCCTGCCAGGCCAGAGAAAGCCAAGGTTAAGAGCTTCATATCTTCCAGTGCTCTCCACTACCAGGCTGAATGAAGTCCACTACCAGGCAGAAGTCTACTACCACTTCCCACCCTGGAAGTGTTGAAGGGCAGGTTGGATGGGGCTTGGAGCAACCTGGGCTGGTGGGAGGTGTCCCTGCCCATGCAGGAGGGGTTGGAACTGGATGGTCTTTAAGAACCCTTCCAACTCAAAACATTTTATGATATGACTGAGTTTAATACAGAAGGAGAATCAATCCACTTTTTCCTCTTAGAACATTCAGCTGCTCAACATGGAGCAATAAGGACATAAGAAGGACATGGAGCTCCTGGAGCAAGTCTGGAGGAGGCCATAAAGATGAGAGGGCTGGAGCAGCTGGGACAGGCTGGGAGAGTTGGGGTGTTCAGCCTGGAGAAGAGAAGGCTCCAGGGAGACCTTAGAGCACCTTCCAGTGCCTGAAGGGGCTCCAGGAAAGCTGGGGAGGGGCTTGGGACAAGGGCAGGGAGGGATGGGATGAGGGGGAATGGATTAAAACTGGCAGAGGGGAGATTGAGGTGAGACATGAGGAGGAAATTCTTTCCTGCGAGGGTGGTGAGACAAATATAAGCACAAAAAAGCTTTAAAGGACTGGTAAAAAACGAGCCAACAGGAACTGCCCTAAAAGCATGGAGAAGGTCCTCTATCAATTCAGGGTTATTCTGGGTCAAAATAGAAATTTGTTTAACGAGGACTATTGCACACAAAAGTATCACTCTGCATAATGTCATCTTTGGTGTATTAAGTACATTTCATTGAAACTTGATGCTCAATGAAAATAAATTACATTTCAATCCAAACCTCATAATCACAGACTCATAATCAACCTCACTAATCACCTTTATTCACTTCTTCTCTCAGCAAGTTACATAAACCCACTTCTGACTATCAACTCTCTTCTCACCTCTTCTTTGGATGAGTAAAAAGAAGTGACACCCTTTGTTTTACATCATTTCTGCTCTTCCAATTCCTTCCTCCCACTAACAAGCTCAATCAAATAAACCTCTTCTTTCTGGAAGAGAGAAGGATGGAGAAGTAGCAATCCATGTCCTCTAAGGAGATGGAGAGAGTTGGCCATTGCTTGACTTGCAGAAGACAGAGGGGAAGGAAACACTGGAAGTGATTGATTTTATACCATTTACTCCTCCTGTCTGAGACATTCAGATCAATCCTGCTGGAAAGACCCATAATTCTAGTTTGGAAAAAGAAGGGGCATCTGGAAATCAAAACTAAAATCATATTTAGACATTAACATCAGTAATATTTGAAGAACAGCACCTGGAGATGAGTTTAAAGCCTGCACAAATGGTGCAGTCACTTGGTTGCTACTCCCTAACAGAGCCCAAACCTGGAATCCCAAATGGTCACCCCAAGTTCTTCCCTTCCACAGATGTAATTTTATGGTTTGAAATTGTCTATGTTACATATTTAAGGGGATTAGTAGTCACACCCAATGCTCAGCTCAGAGGAAGTCTGTGGATTTGAGAAGGAAACAGGAGACCAAGAACTATTTTACTAACACAGCTTCTTCCATTCAGCCCAAAGCCTGGATCTGTGAAAAACATTTTGGAATTACTTCAATATTCAATTTGCATCTTGGCAGGTTAGTTTTTTTGGACAAGGAACAGAAACAAAGGCCAAGGAGTTTGAAAGCTGAGCTGAAAAGAGAACGTACTTGAGCTTGCAAAGAGAAGACATGGTATTAACTTTGCAACCCCTATCATCAGTCATTAAACCTGGGATTTCTTTCCCCCCCAACATTACACACAACACATTGAAATACCCATTTAATTTGTTTTATAACTGGGATGGAAATTATGAACCACAGCATAGTATTGGAACTGGAAAGAAGTGAGTGATCCCATCCTGTTGCCAAAACATCATTGGTCTTCAGAGCCTACACTGAAACAATGATTTAAAAAAAAAAAACAAAAAACATATTTTTAGTTCTGCTTTGCATGACTCAAGCGATCAACCTTCCACTAGGTAGGTTATTCTAGAGCCCACACAGCTCAATACTGGTTTTTATTTACCATATCTGCTCTGGTGAGACCCCACCTGGAGTACTGAGTCCAGCTCTGGAGTTCTCAGCACAGGAAAGACATGGAGAAGGTTCAGAGAAGGGCCACAAAGATGATCACAGGGCTGGAACAGCTCTGCTATGAAGAGAGGCTGAGGGAGTTGGGACTGTTCAGCCTGGAGAAGAAAAGGCTCCAGGGAGACCTTAGAGATGATTCTCTAACTGGCACTAGAAATACCTACAGAACCCTTCCTGACTCCATTCCTTGTGCTGCCCTCTAACATCCTCCTTTAGGAGATGTGGAGATAATATTTAAGGAAGTGTATGGCTGATTTCTTCTTTTATGCTGTAGGTTTTGAACAGTAACTTGGTAATTCATACCTGGAAACACCTGCTTAAAGAATTTGAAAAGATGGCCAAGGGAAAGTGATTTGTCTGGGATTCTCCCCATCTACTCTGCCCTGGTGAGACCACATCTGGAGGATTGTGTCCAGTTCTGGGCTCCCCAGTTCCAGAGGGACAGGGATTTGCTGGGAAGAGTCCAAGGGAGGCTACAAGGATGATGAGGGGACTGGAACATCTCCCTGATGAGGAAAGGCTGAGAGACCTGGGGCTGTTTAGTCTGGAGAAGAGAAGGCTGAGAGGGGACCTGATGAATGTCTATCAATATCTGCAGGGTGGGTGTCAAGAATGGGCCAGTCTCTGTTCAGTGGTGCCTGGGACAGGACGAGGGGAAACGGCCCCAAGTGACAACACAGGAAGTTGCACCTCAACATGAGGAGAAAGTTCTTTCCTGGGAGGGTGACAGAGCCCTGAGACAGGCTGCCCAGAGAGGTTGTGGAGTCTCCTTCTCTGGAGACTTTCCAGACCCATCTGGACACGTTCCTGTGTGACCTGCCCTGGGTGTTCCTGCTGCAGCAGGGGGGTTGGACTTGATGATCTCCAGAGGTCCTTTCCAACCCCTGTGATTCTATGAAAGAACAGTAAGGAAAAGAGGAGCACAGGAGAAAGAACTGAGGTGATTCCACACCTATCCTCTGTAGTGCCATAGAACTCCATTGGTTTTTAACGGTCAAATATCAGTTTTCCCAGGTTTTTCTGCAGAAGGGCTGAGAGGAAAAGCTCTACAGGACTACAGGATCAGGCACTTCATAGCCTCCTGTCATCATCCAACTAAGAAGCAAAACTCTGGCCACATAACACTATGAATAAATGGATGCTTCTCACCAGACACTCCAGAATGCGAAAACAAAACCACAGATTAAAAGGAAACAGCAGTAAATGAAAACCTAGATTAAATTCAAATATTAAATGGAGAAGAAGATGGAAGAAACAAAGGAGTGGGGAAAAAAAAAAAAAAAATCAGTGCAGGGTAAAAGGAACAAGGTGGGGGTTGGTTTTGAGAGCAGTAAACTCATATTCACGTTGCACAGGAAACATTACAACTCCACTGGCAGGGTTGGTTACAAAGGCAAGAATAAACTGGAGAGGAAAATCTGATTTATGTTTTCATTCCACAGCTGGAGCCTTGTTAATAATTGGAGGGAAATCTCCCACTTTTACTTATCCAGTAAGGAATTTATTGGAAGATCATGTGCAAAGCCTTGAAAATGAACGAGGAATGAATGGGGGAAGCGACTGAGGTAGGAGAGGAACCTTGTATGCTGTACCCTAAGTCCCAACAAGCTCACTTTGTGAGCTACAGAAGCGAAAAACATACATCAGGTGTAGATGTTTATGTGCAGGTTCAAGGCACAAAAAGGTGAAGCAGGAGAAGCTGCAGGAAAATGCTGTTTCAATGATTTACATGGGTACAGGGGTCGGTACTGGGACCGGTGTTGTTCAACATCTTCATCAACGACCTGGATGAGGGTACAGAATGTACCCTCAGCAAGTTTGCTGATGACATTAAGCTGGGAGGAGTGGCTGACACACCAGAAGGCTGTGCTGCCATTCAGAGAGACTTAGACAGGCTGGAGAGTTGGGCGGGGAGAAACATGATGAAATTCAACAAGGGGAAGTGTAGAGTTTTGCATTTAGGAAAGAACAACACCATGTCCCAGTACAGGTTGGGGGCTGAACTGCTGGAGAGTAGTGTAGGTGAAAGAGACCTGGGGGTCCTGCTGGACAGGAGGATGACCATGAGCCAGCAATGTGCCCTTGTGGCCAAGAAGGCCAATGGCATCCTGGGGTGCATTAGAAAGGGTGAGGTTAGTAGGTCAAGAGAGGTTCTCCTCCCCCTCTATTCTGCATTGGTGAGGCCACATCTGGAGTATTGTGTCCAGTTCTGGGCCCCTCAGTTCAAGAAGGACAGGGAACTGCTTGAAAGAGTCCAGCGCAGAGCTACGAAGATGATTAAGGGAGTGGAACATCTCCCTTATGAGGAAAGGCTGAGGGAGCTGGGTCTCTTTAGCTTGGAGAAAAGGAGACTGAGGGGTGACCTCATCAATGTTTACAAATATGTAAGGGGTGAGTGTCAGGGAGATGGAGTTAGGCTTTTCTCAGTGATGATCAGTGATAGGACAAGGGGTAATGGGTGTAAATTGGAGCATAGGAGGTTCGAGGTAAATATCTGAATAAAATTTTTTTACTGTGAGAGTGACAGAGCCCTGGGACAGGCTGCCCAGGGAGGTTGTGGAGTCTCCTTCACTGGAGACATTCAAAACCCGCCTGGATGCGTTCCTGTGTGATGTACTCCAGGTGACCCTGCTCTGGCAGGGGGGTTGGACTAGATGATCTTTCAAGGTCCCTTCCAACCCCTAAGATTCTATGATTCTATGATACTCCAAGTGCCCCTCCTAGAAGCTGCTTCCTATAAATTCTTCCCAGAAAATTACATCTAAACATCATCTCTTCTTGCTTTCCATGTACAGAGCTTTAGGAAATAATCTGAAATTGCAGAGACTAAATACTCCAACTCTCTGCCACTTCGCACCAAAAAAAACCCCAAACAAACCATGCAAGACAATTCCCTCCTAAAACAGGCTGGAAATTTACCTGGGACTAAAGTTCTGTTTAGATACCTCAAAACTTGCTTCCAGCTTTTTGCATTTCATGAATTGAAACAAATAAGAGAGTTTCCATGTCTTAGTCCAAAAATTAAATATAATCAGCGCAGATTTATTCTGCACTGTCATAGCTTTAGAAGCCAGGACACTAGGACAGAATTATCTAAGGTGTTCTCCAGCACAGATGGTGAAGGCCCATCAGAGGTAGTAAATTTCTGGATCATATTTATATGGACAACATAAAATAGACATTAATCTAGAAGAAAGGCAGAAAAGGAAATGCCAAGGAAGGAAGAAACATTCAGCCTGGAAAATAAAACTCCACTCAAAGCTTCTCTCAGCTGCATCAAACTGGTTAGGCAAAATTTTTCCAGAGGAAAAAAAAAGGTTCCTCGTTTTTGTGTTTTTCTAACCTCACCACTTCCATGGCAAACACTCAACACCTTTGAGGCAGCCTGCCTGGCTATTACTATGTTCATTTGCAAGAGAAACCACCAAAAAGACAGAAAAAGAGGTATATGCAGCACCTTCTCTACAAGAAGAGACTTTTGGGTTAGTCCCTAAGAAATAAATATGTATGTCCCAACAAATCTGGACCACCACAGCCTCTTGTTGAGGAAACAAGACAGATGCATCTCTACAGAAATAAATATTGAAAGAGCTTTTAGAGGTGAAGACTTATTTACCAAAACAACAACTCACCACTTCATGAATGGATCGATTGAAACCATCATCCTCAGTCAGGATCAGCAGGATGATCAGAGCCATGTAAACATGGTGGGAATTCCTTTCTTCAACGTGATACAGGATTTCCAGAATTGGCAGAACCTGTACGGAACGAAAAAAAACCTGTGGATTAGTTTAGTCTTTCAAATACCTCAGACAAACAGAGGAGACCTCCAAACCTCCTGTGCATCACCCTGTCCTCAACAATATCACTTTCTCCCTTTAGCACTTTCTCCCTCTTGAAATAAACACCCTAAACAGTGACGTGCATTGTTTAAGCACCTTCCATCTGTTTTATTTTGCTTGCACAAGAGTCAAAACCAATTCTTTCTTGTGGTCAGGCATGGAATTTCAATTCCTAATGAGATTTCCAGCCATACCAGTTTACCGTAGGCCCTGAAACCTTTAGTTCCCCTCTAGACTACGGGAAAATACAATTGTTAAACAAGATTTTCAAACATTCAAGCAGGAAAATAATTGGTTTTAACCACTGGTGCTAACACAAGCCAGGTCTGAAAGGAGGAAGACCACAAAGATGATCCAAGGGCTGGAGCAGCACTCCCATGAAGACAGGCTGGGAGAGTTGGGTGTCAGTCTGGAGAAGAGAAGGCTCCAGGGAGACCTTAGAGCCCCTTCCAGTGCCTGAAGGGGCTCCAGGAAAGCTGGGGAGGGGCTTGGGACAAGGGCAGGGAGGGATGGGATGAGAGGAAATGGCCTTAAACTGCAAGAGGGGAGATTTAGGTGAGACATGAGGAGGAAATTCTTTGCTGTGAGGGTGGTGAGACCCTGGCCCAGGTTGCCCAGAGAAGCTGTGGCTGCCCCATCCCTGGCAGTGTTGAAGGGCAGGTTGGATGGGGCTTGGAGCAACCTGAGCTGGTGGGAGGTGTCCCTGCCCATGCAGGGGGTTGGAACTAGATGATCTTCAATGTCCCTTCCAACCCAACCCATTCTATGATTCTATGACTTTTCTCATCAAATATAAACAGCCATTTTAGACCTGAGGTACAAAAAGGCATCTGGAGACCTGCAACTCAAATCCCATTTTGCTGTGTGGAAATATAATCCCAAAAAAGAATCAGTTTGGGGTGGGTGAAGACAAGAAAAGGCCATGGTTTTCCAATTCTAGATAAGAGGCAGCCAAAGAGAACTGACATTACAATGAGAGTTCAGCCCAAGTTCTTGCAACATTTCCACCAGGATGAACAGCTTAAGCCAAAGTCTTGCAATAATGAACATGAGATTTCACTGCACTAGCAAGCATACCTGAATGCTAGTCTAAAGTTAATCCAGATGCAAATGCTGTCTCTCTACCAACTGAAAATTAGCTTTCCACTGGCTCAGTACAATGTGGCTCCCCCAGGCTGCAGAAATAGACATAAAGAACAAAATACCCTGGAAAAAAAGGAACTGGAAGAAAACTCTCCATTCCATCCATAGTGGATGAGATGTAGAATTTGTTCCAAGAAGCTTCCAGACACCTAAAGACTCACTGTTTTTCATAACAGGCTGACTGCAGCAGGGGGAATCATGTGAAACCTATTCTGGTGAGGGGCCAGGACACAGAGTGCTTCAAAAGCCTCTGAAGTTAGCAAAATGTTCTCTTACCACCCAAAACAGTTGGAACATATAAAAACACACACCAGTTCCTATTAGAACCTAAGAGATTGAGGTAAATACTGCAGGACACAAGACCTTCTGGCAGATGTTTTGGGCAGGGTCAAAGGTAATACCACAACAAAAGCAAGGGTCAAAAAATACTTCCTCATTGCAAAATTCCTCCATAGAATCATTTAACGATTTGGGTTGGAAGGGACCTCTAAGATCATCCAGTTCCAACCCCCTGCATGGGCAGGGACACCTCCCACCAGCCCAGGTTGCTCCAAGCCCCATCCAACCTGCCCTTCAACACTGCCAGGGATGGGGCAGCCACAGCTTCTCTGGGCAACCTGGGCCAGGGTCTCACCACCCTCACATAAAATAATTTCCTCCTAATATCCCATCTAAATCTCCCCTCTTTCAAATATCCTCCCTTCACCATTTCAAAGGATCCTCCACAAGCATCTCTCCTCAAGTAAAACTGGAGCTGATCTCCTTGTGTATGGAGAATAGATGTCTTGAGATCAAAGACTAAGTCATCCTAGAGTTATCTACTTAGCACAGATCAAAAATCAGTCCTTCCCTTTGGATGTGGGAAAAAGAAACATACATCACTGTCCATTGTTTAAATGATTTCCATTTCCAATATTTATAGTGGACAGAGCTTTGCACTGTATGAGCTTAAAGGAATTTTCAAGTCTCTTCCCATCTCTACTTCCATGGCCATGTTTTCCTTTCCACCTCTTATTTAGACTCCTCTCCATAACATACCTGTCCAAACTCAAGGACAAAAACAGCAACTCTCTCCCTTTGCCATTTCCACATGAAAACTGCACCAATTCACCCAGTTCCTAGACCCCTTCCTCCTCTGAACACATTTCTCCTTTGTATTTTGATTCCTAAGGAACACATCTTTAGGAAAAATATCACTGTGCTCAGAAAAAAACCAACTATTTGACAAGCCACCACTTAGAAAATAAAAGAGTTGGGAGATTAAAATTTGAACTATATTAAAAACTATCAAGAACTGTAATCAAATCTTGTAAGAAAAATGTTTTTCCAGACTTTTATGTTCTTCTTATATATTAAAACTTCTATCTTCTTAGACACTGACACTACCCATCCAGGTACTGATGGCAGCCACTTAGAATCATAGAACCATTTTGGTTGGAAAAGACCTCCAAGTCCAACCCAGCCCTGCCCAGGCCGCCACTGACCCATGGCCCTCAGCACCACATCTACACGGCTTGGAAACCCCTCCAGGGATGGGAACTCCAGCCCTGCCCTGGGCAGCCTGGGCCAGGGCCTGACAACCCTGGCCAGCAAGAAATGCTGCCCAAGATCCAATCTCAACCTCCCCTGGCACCACTGGAGCCCATTTCCTCTTGTTCCATCACTTTGTTCCTTGGTAAAGAGGACCCATCATTACTAGACAATTACTAACACTCCTCCATCAGGAGCAGCTTTTAACTGGCAAGACACAGACACCATTCAAATGTCACCATGAGGAAAATCAAATATTGGAATAGTCTCCTAAGGGAAGTGGTAGATCCCTCCACATTGGACAGTTTAACTCTCAGCTTGAAAGGGTGCTGAGGCCACCTCATATAAACTACAGTAGTACCTAGAAAGGTTGGACCAGATGATCTTTGAGCTTCCTTCCAACCTGGCTTGCTAGGATTCTATGAAAAAGTAACTTTTAATCCCCCAAAAAAGCAGCATGTAAAAACAGATATTGAAAACTGCAGGTGCTACATTCAGTCCAAGGCAAAGAACAATTTATCCAGCAGAGAGTTTGAAAATAGCTTCTCTTCAGTATCCAACAAAGTACAAGGCTGCAAAGCCACACGAGTGACCTGCTTAAGCCATATTTAGACCACAGGAAAACATACTGCTTTACCATAGAGAAATACAGCAGCACATCCATTATTTCAGTTCAGACTCGTTGACCAGCAACAAAATGTACAGCACAGCTTAGCAATGAGCAGGGACATCTGCAACTAGATCAGGTTGCTTAGAGCCCCATCCAACCTGACCTGGAATGTTTCCAGGGATGGGGGTCCTTGCAGGTACTTTCAATAAGACTGAAATCCCAAATTTCCTATTGCCAAATTCCAGACGTGAAGATCCCTAATGGCATCAGGTACTTAGCCCAGTTCTTTTAGAACATGACACCAAGAGACATGCTGCAAATTGGGGAAGACACACAAATATCCTTTTTGTTCATAAAGGCTGAGAGTTTGAAAAAGAGAAGGCTGAGAGGGGACCTGATGAATGTCTATCAATATCTGCAGGGTGGGTGTCAAGAATGGGCCAGTCTCTGTTCAGTGGTGCCTGGGACAGGATGAGGGGAAACGGCCCCAAGTGACAACACAGGAAGTTCCACCTCAACATGAGGAGAAAGTTCTTTCCTGGGAGGGTGACAGAGCCCTGAGACAGGCTGCCCAGAGAGGTTGTGGAGTCTCCTTCTCTGGAGACTTTCCAGACCCATCTGGACACGTTCCTGTGTGACCTGCCTGCAGCAGGGGGGTTGGACTTCATGATCTCCAGAGGTCCCTTCCAACCCCGATGATTCTGTGATTCTACCAAGTCTGTTGTAAGAGCAAAAACAACGCATTCTAAAGCGCAACAGAAGATGGTCTTTACATCTAACTGACAGAGGCAGATTCATATGCAAACAAGGAAGCAAGCTGAGACATCACCTATTCCATCAGCTAATAAAACCACACTGAATCCATTTACAAATAAAACTGAAGTTACAAAAGAGCAAAGACATTTCACACCTCCCCTAGGAAATGTCCCTCAACATCTGCTAGTGATATTTCCTGGGCACCAAATCCAGGAAGTATTAAATAGCGGAAAAAACACAGCACATGTGAGACACTGAGTGCAGTGTGACAGAAACAACCTGCAAAACCCCTCAAAGTCTAAGATGAGCACTCAGCTGGCCTCATTTCTCATGTAGCACAGGCTCTTACACTTCACCCAACTGCCTCAGTATGAAGAAGCCTCCCAAAAGCCACCCACCCTCACTGAAAGACACCCAGAGAGAACAGTGTTTTGCCTCTGAATTCATTACCTTCACTGGTTTCCTCTGGTGTGGGCTTCAACCTCCAGCCTTTAGTTCTCAGCACACCTCCCTCAACAAGCAGAGAGTCCTTTCCCTTCCAAGCTTTCTCCTTGTGAAGCCACAGACACATCCTGATGCTTCTCAAGCTCTTTTCTGACCAACTCAACTAACATCAGCTTTTTAAGCCTCTCCCAGTATTGTTGTTCATTTTAAAGCCAACCCCCCCCCCCTCATGTTTCTCTACATTCTCTCAATTTCTCAAGAGCCTGTAAATATTTTAGGAAGTTTAGTACCACAGCACCAGAACAGCATTCACCACTCCTGCAGTTGCCATATAGGGAAGGAAAAAAACAGCTTAATTACTCCTGCCCCTTTGTCTCATTTACTAAATTAGCCTTTTTCACCACAGGGTTGTAATTAGGAGATCATGATTGCTCTGCCCAGTAACCCTTCCAGCCCCCCAAGTCCCTTCTGTGTTTGTATGATTAAGCAATTCAAGCTGCTCCTCTCAGTTGGTTGCCACTCATCCTTACCTACCAGCCAGCAGAATCAAGAGGATTGGACCAAGGTGTAACATGTCAGGAGTGATCACAAAAAGCATGAAGAGTTCAAGGAGAGGAGAGAGTTTCCAATTTTAGTATTAAATACAAAATATGCCAACATGCTGCTGACTTTTCAGTGATGCTTTTCTCAATTCTCTCAGCTTGTTCCCCACAAAGTGGTTAATGTCACTGATTATTTCTGGGATTTTCTGATTTGTTTTGTTTGGAAGGGGAAGGAAGATTGGTGATAATATATGAAAATATCCCCCAAGAGCACCTGGAGCTGTTTGGACACATGCACCTCTTGCTTTTCCTGCAAGTTTTACAGTGGAACAGACATCATAATTCTCACACAATGCACACACCTAAACCTGATTTCCCTGAAGATAATTAAGAAGGTGAGCAGGTGTCAAACATGTCATAACACACACTAACAGCCCTGAAAATTAAAAATGACCATTTGTTCACAGAATTCCTGTCCTCAGCTACACAATCTGCACTGGACTACACAGGAGGAGTTCAGTTTTGAACCATAAAATCATTAAGATTTGAAGAGACCTTCAAGATTGAGTCCAACCATAATCCAACTATCACAACTGCTAAACTGTATTCTGAAGTGCAACATCTAAATGCTTCTTGAACATCTCCAGGGATAGTGAGACCACTACCTCCCTGGGCAGCCTGTTCCAGGGCTCCCTGTTCAGCCAAGCTGGTCATCTTCCCTGACACCTCATTTTAGGACATATGGGGACATCCTGCCCTGCAGCCTTCTTGGGCTTATTTGCTCTTCAGGACAGTCTCCGAAGGGACACTCCCAACCAGTGTCCTAAACAGTCTGAAGTCTGCCCTCTGGAAGTCCACAGTAACATTTTTACTGATGCCCATCCTTACTTCCCAAAAACTGTGGGCCAACAGGGCCAGGAAGATGATTCTGCCCCTCTACTCTGCTCTGGTGAGACCCCACTTGGAGTGCTGTGTCCAGCTCTGGAGCCCTCAGCACAAGAGAGACATGAAGCTGTTGGAGAGGGTCCACAGAAGGGCCACGAGGATGATTAGAAGGCTGGAGCAGCTTTGCTCTGGAGACAGGCTGAGAGAGTTGGGATGTTCAGCCTGGAGAAGAGAAGGCTCCAGGGGAGACCTTAGAGCACTTTCCAGTGCCTGGAGGGGCTCCAGGAAAGCTGGGGAGGGGCTTTTCACCAGAGAGGGCAGTGATAGGACAAGGGGTGATGGTTTTAAACTGAAAGAGGGGAGATTTAGCTTAGAGATCAAGAAGAAATTCTTCATCATCAGGGTAGGAAGGCACTGGAACAGGTTGCCCAGGGAGGTTATGGCTGCCCCCTCCCTGGAGGTGTTCAAGGCCAGGTTGGATGAGGCTTGTGAAACCTGGTCTAGTGGGAGATGTCCCTGCTCATAGCAGGGAGGTTGGAAACTGAGGGGCTTTAAGGTGCCCTCTAACCCAAACCATTCTGTGATTCTATGATTCTATGAATTGAGAATTCTACCATTTCATGGTTGCTAAGCCCAAGATGGCCTCCAACCACCATATCACCTACCAGTCCTTCCCTGTTTGTAAACAGTAGGTCTAGAGAGGCACCTCCCCTGGTAGGCTCATTTACCAGCTAAGTCAGGAAGTTATCTTCCACACATTCTAGGAACCTCTGAAGACTGTTTCTACTCTGCTGTGCTTTATTTCCAGCAGACTTCTGGTGAATTGAAGTCCCCTGCAAGGGCAAGGGTTGGCAACTTGAAGACTTTTGCCAACTGCCTGTAGAACATCTCATCAGCCTCCTCATCCTGGTTGGGTGGCCTGCAACACATTCCCAACAGGATGGCTGCCTTGTTTGCCTTCCTTCTAATCCTTACGCATAGGAACTTGATGTCACCATCACATTTGTCAAGTTCTATGCAATCAAAACCCTCCCTGACATCCAGGGCCACTCCACCAGCTCTCCTTCCCTGCCTGTCCCTTCTGAAGAGCTTATGGCCATTCAATATCAATTCAATACCAAACATCTCACCCCAGTGTGCCAACAGTGGTGTCTATTAACTCTGATTTTAGCAACACATCTGCTGGAACTTGGACTGAGACCAAACTCATTCCATATCTCCTATCAAACAGGCAAGGGATCCAATTACCTGGCAAGATTTCAAATATTAAAATGGAAAGGGTTCCCTATTTGTTACCAACTCCCTCAGAGAGCCATTATCTTATTAAAGGAAATGCTTTTTTAATAAGTAAGATTTGTTAGTGGTTTGTAACATAACTAAATCGAGTGGGGAGAGTAAGCTAATTTCTAACCTACAAAAACTATACCAGGTATATGTTGTACTGGCCTCTAACTACAGTCCTATTTAAAGCAGCTAAAAAGTCACTACAGTTGCATTTCTGTAAAATCACTCAGCTGCTCCTTGAGGAGTTTCAACCTCAGCTCAACCCTGCTAAGACATTTGGGAGATTAGTCACGTCCCAAACCCTCAAGCATGGGCAGGGACACCTCCCACCAGCCCAGGTTGCTCCAAGCCCCATCCAACCTGCCCTTCAACACTGCCAGGGATGGGGCAGCCACAGCTTCTCTGGGCAACCTGGGCCAGGGTCTCACCACCCTCACAGCAAAGAATTTCCTCCTCATGTCCAACCTAAATCTCTCCTCTGCCAGTTTTAATCCATCCCACTCATCCTCTCACTCCTGCCCTTGTCCCAAGCCCCTCCCCAGCTTCCCTGGAGCCTTCTCTTCTCCAGGCTGAACACCCAACTCTCCCAGCCTGTCTCCAGAGCAGAGCTGCTCCAGCCCTCTCATCATCTCCGTGGCCTCCTCTGGACTCACTCCGAGAGATCCATGTCCTTCCTGTGTTGGGGACCCCAGCCCTGGCCCCAGCCCTGCATGAGGTTCTCACTACAGCAGAGTGGGACAATCCCCTCCCTTGACCTGCTGGCCAAACTGCCTCAAAAACAGCAAGCAGGCAGGTTATGCATGCAGTTTGTTTAAGTTTTTGGTCTGAATATAAATAAACTAAATCTAATATAATGAGTAGCATTATACCTGCTATCAGTTTGTTTCCACCATGACCAGAGATCAACAGGTGTGACCTAGACCAGAGAATGGGACTGAGAAAGAGGGACTCAAAAACAACACAGTGGCTTGATCAGTACCAGCTTTTCCTGCAGTGACATGTGTAACATCACACTCCAGAGATGATGTAATAAAAATGAGAGAGCTAGACCTGGCAAATCAGTGAGCCAGAACCTACTGTCCCCACCAAAGAGCAAACAATGCTGACCCCCAAGCTTCCAGAACCAACCCCTGGTGATGAGAAGAGCAAGCAGAGCAAGACTTACAAGGTTTTCTATGTCAGTTCGTGCCAACACGTAGGTCCGGACGTTGCCATTTTGATGCAGGAGCATGTACAACAGAAGAGTTGCTTGATCAGATTTCTGCTGTTCACACAGAGCTGGTATAAACTGGTTAAAATTAATCTGGAAAGTGTGGGGATTTGATGAGGAGAAAGCAGAGCTATCTGAAATAAAGAAAAAAAACAAAACTCTCTTTAACCAAGGCATTTAACATCCAGCTGTTTTGTAAATTTTATAACCATCTCGGGGGGGGGGGAATATTTTATACAGATAGCATAGTAAGAAGGAAATAAAACTCATCTTTAACTCTTATCACTAGTGGTCATAAACCTTCACAGGGTCTCATGATGCTTCAGCTGTGCCAAAAAGCTGAGGTTGTCCTCCCATGTGAGGCTCCAGGGAGACCTTAGAGCACCTTCCAGTGCCTGAAGGGGCTCCAGGAAAGCTGGGGAGGGGCTTGGGACAAGGGCAGGGAGGGATGGGATGAGGGGGAAGGAT